AGCCGAGCAATGCAAAGTGCTAACAGTTGAAGGTTAGTTTTTCTTTTTCTTTTCTTCTTTTTCTTTTGGGATGAGACGAAGAGATAGACTTGAGCTTCAGCCACAAACTCTACAATGGGAAATGGCAAAGTTAAATTCGAAAAAAAAAGAGTCATCTAAAATTGCTGCTAATCACACTAAGATGAATGCACATGAGACAAACCATTGGACGCGGTGTCTCTGGGTTTGACTTTAAATCTAAAATTGCTGCTAATCACAGCCCATGGATTTATATTAAGGCTGTGTATATGGTTCGTGTCTCAAGTCACTATTAATATTTGATTCTTCATTTCTACGTTTGGTGGGGTAATTTTGATTTCCACAAGTCTTGGTTTGTATTCAAGCAATAACTTTCTTTAGTTTTTTTCTTGGTTTCTTAGGCAGGTAGATATTTTCTTTGTTCAGCAATAACTTGGAGAGATACCGTGCAGATGCAGTAATATCTACTTGGGTTGCTACAAAACGAAAATTTAATTTGATTTTTATTAAAATTTAATGAAAGATTTGTCTAATTAACACTCCAAAATGGTGTAGTGAATTCCTATGTTTTGTATCACTATTCTGATTATCAAAATCCTTCATATTTATTTTATTTTACTTGTTTTATTCTAATGTTTACCTGATTTTTTTTTATTATATGAAATATTTTTTAGTTCTAACTCTTATTGAAAACAAAATTATTATTTTTTTTTTGGTAATTAAATATGAAAGATACCAACAAAAGTTAAAAGACTAAATCTAGTCAACTATAAAAATTCTACTTAAGTTCCTAAATATTAATTTTACTTAATTTATCATAAATTAAAACAACTATGAATTTGTTATTTTGATAAAACTATCGACATCTCTCGTGATGGCCGTATAATACCTATACATACATATATATATTTATATATAAAGTACGCATACACGTACGTCCATAATCTCAAATTTAATGTGGTCTATAAATAGAAATGATAATACAATTTTTAATATATGACATTGATACTATAAATATATTTTTCATCAAGTAAAATTTTTCATATTTGTTTTTTAATTTTAATATTTTTCTAGAAAGCTTGAATTTTTTATTATAATGAGGTGGTTGTCATTGAATATTACACTATTGTTAATGAATTATTATTAGCACGTGTCTGTTGGTACTGACATTCTTTTTTTAGTATATATTATTTTTAAATTAAATTATCTAATGGGTTTAAAGCAAAAGCAAAAAAAAAAAAAAAAAAAAAATCTTAGGGAAATGAAAATTTGATCACTGAAATTAAATTATAAAACGTAATAAAATTATACTTTTTAATCATTTAATTTAATTTTGTAATTCATTAAGTGGGCCGTGGGTATTGAGGCTCCGCCTTGGTTGATGACAAAAGGGGAATTAATGGATGATATAGGGGCAATTTTGTCAAAGTAGAAAAGATAAAGGCCTGTTTGGTTACTCGTTGTGTACGCACCGCTATTCCACAAATGGCACTCTAATTCCCTCGGTAAACAAAGAAGGCGAGAGAAAGTTGAGATAAAGCGCCGAAGAGGGATTTTGGGAGGGAGAGTGAGTAAGGTCTTGTTTACTATAACACATATAACAGCTTGTATTGATTATATATATATATATATATATATTTAATTTAAAAAAAAAATAAAAATAGCGATAAATAGCCGTTGATATCACCAATATTCCCGCC